GTGTGTGTGTGTGTATTTTCACTAGAAACAAGGTTTCACCATGTTAGCCAGGCTGGTCTCGAACTGACCTCAGATGATCCACCTGCCTCAGCCTCCCAGCTGGGATTATAGGCATGAGCCACTCTGCCCAGCACCCACAACCATACCTTAACCCAGATACTCCTTTCTGTGGATTCCTGGTCTTTCTTTTTTTTTTCCTTTTTTTTAATTGAGATGGAGTTTCATTCTTGTTACCCAGGCTGGCGTGCAATGAAGCGATCTCGGCTCATTGCAACCTCCGCCTCCTGGGTTCAGGCAATTCTCCTGCCTCAGCCTCCTGAGTAGCTGGGATTACAGGCACGCGCCACCATGCCCAGGTAATTTTTTGTATTTTTAGTAGAGACGGGGTTTCACCATGTTGACCAGGATGGTCTCGATCTCTTGATCTCGTGATCCACCCTCCTCGGCCTCCGAAAGGGCTGGGATTACAGGCGTGAGCCACCGCGCCTGGCCCGATTCCTGGTCTTTGAACCAACTGCCAATCAGAAAATCTCTGAGTTCATCTGACGGGGAAGCTGCCACTTCAAGTTGTCCTGCTTTTCCAGACCAAACCAACAGACATCTTACATGTACTGACTGATATCTCATGTCTCCCTAAAATGTATTGATATAAAGTCAAGCTGTAGCCTGATCACCTGGGGCACATGTTGTCAGGAGCTCCTTTCCTGATGCCAAGATTATTCATAAATTTTCACATGTCAAAATCTGTGTGGTCCTTCTGCTTGCTTTTCCATAATGTATGTTGTCATACTGTTCCATGAGTCACCTCTGGGTGGCGTCAGTCAGTTCTCTGGAATGTAAAAGTCTGAAAAATATCACCTGACCAGTCTGAGGTTTTGCAGTAGTAAATGTTATCTATAGGAGCAATTGAGGAAGTTACACGTCTTGTGACCTCTGGTCACATGACTCTGGAGCAGTAAGCAAGTGAGGGAACAGTGGCTGAACTGTGCTTTACAGCTGAGCAGGATTCCCGACCCTCCCATAATTCCAACCTTGTGGCCTTTCATTGGCTTTACAAAGGCAGTTTTGGTCCTCGAACAAGGAAGTGGGGTAGTTTTGAGAAGGGGCTATTATCATCGTTGCTTCAAGGTTAAACTATAAACTGAATTCCTCCCATAGTTAGCTTGGCCTATGCCCAGGCATAAGCAAGAGCAGTCAGCTTGCGAGGTCAGAAGCAAGATGGAGTCAGTTATGCTAGATTTCTCTCACTGTCATGACTTTTGCAAAGGCAGTTTCAGCACAGAATATTTCAAGATAAATATCTGTGGTACATCTCTAACATGTAGCATTCTGAAATTTCTATTGTGTCGTGATCGAAACAAATGAAAACATGAGTCAAGCAGAGAGTATGCTCAAGGTGAGAGATTCCCGGAGCCCCCTCCTCAGGTCTGCCCAGTCCCTGCCAGCCCTCTGCTCACTTCAGCCTTCGTCCCCCCCACCTCCTGAGGGCACAGACGCTCCCCACCGTTCTCTTCATCCTCTGCTCTCCTCGCCTCCTCTCTCTGGGTGATTTCATCGGAGTTGGCCACAACAGCCCTTCGTATGCTATTTCACAAAAACAGTTGCTTTTCTGTATGCTTTTAAAGCCAAAAGATTTGAAGTAGTTGTCAAACTCGGAGGAAAATAGGAAAAATATTTTATTTGTATTTTAAAAAAATAATGTCTTTGTAAACTGAAAATAGTATGTCTTTTTTTTTTGAGATGGAGCCTTGCTTTGTTGCCCAGGCTGGCATGCAGTGGTATGACCTCTGCAACCTCTGGCTCCCGGGTTCAAGGGATTCTCCTGCCTCAGCATCTCAAGTAGCTGGGATTATAGGAATGCGCCACCATGCCTGGCTAATTTTTGTGCTTTTAGTAGAGATGGGGTTTCTTCATGCTATCCAGGCTGGTCTCGAAGTTCTGACCTCAAGTGATCTGCGTGCCTTGGCCTCCCAAAGCTCTGGGATTACAGACATGAGTCACTGTGCCCAGCCCCCAAAATAAAATTTTAAGCCCTCCGACTCTCAGCCAAGGCGAATCCGAAGTAAACTGAAAAACTAGTTCAGGCCATGATGGGAAGTGGTGTTGTACATGACTCATTATGCTCTCCCTTTGGAATTCAGGCACAACCGACCAGAATCAACATTAAAACAGAGATTATAAGACTGATAAAACAAGACTCTTCCTAGCAGTAAGACACCAAATTGCAACCTGATTCTCGTACAGCATCACATGACAGATGTGAGGTCCTGAAAGAAACTGACATATTTTATCTCAAAATATATTTTTTGACATATTCTGAAATGGCCCTGCAAAATTGTCTTTCCTTTTTTTTTTTTTTTTCAGACGGGGTTTCACCATGTTAGTCAGGCTGGTCTTGAACTCCCGACTTCAGGTGATCCGCCCGCCTTGGCCTTCAAAGTGCTTGGATTACAGACATGAGCCACCACGCCTGGCCAAAATTGTCTTTATATTCTCTAGAGAATTCCCCTCGTTTTGCGGATCTTTTCCTGACTCAGGAGAGATAAGGATCTGGCACCTTCTTAGGTCTGGTAAGAGCCATTTAACATCTACTGTCTCTGAAGCCTGCTACTGGGAGTCTTCACCTACAAAGTAAGAACCTTGGTCTCTACAACCCCTTATCTTAACCCAGACACTCTTTTCTACTGATTCAGGTCTTCAGCTAGTAACTCTTGAAATCAATTGCCAATCAGACAAACTTTGAATCCACCTACAACCTGGAACCCAGTCCCCACCCCCACCTCTTTGAGCTGTCCCACCTTTCTGGATGGAATCACTGTATATATGTATTGACTGATGTTTGCCTGTAATTTCTGTCGCCCTAAAAAGTACAAAGTCAAGTTGTAACCCAGCCGCCGTGGGCACGTGTTCTTAGGACCTCTTGGGACTGTGTCTCAGGTGTTGGGCACTCATTATTCGCCTCCGAATAAACCTCTTTAAATATTTTACAGAGTTTGACTCTTTTTGTTGACAACTTTATAGTATCCATAAAACTATATATGGTATCTTTAAAAATTGAGCAATGTCTAAAAGAGCAAAGAATAATAATGCTCATGGAAAGACACTCTCAATCTCTTGCTTCCCAGAAAAAGCCATTATTATCAATATTTGGTCTCTGCTACACGGATAAAAAGACAAATAAAACGACATTAGTTGAAAATGGGGAATTTTACTGTAGATGCTACTTTTAAGGAGAAAGCATTTGATTTTACTTAATTTGATAGTAAAATCATCTGAAGTTAAACTAAAGAAATTGCTGACCTTTAGATAAACACAAACGTAGACAACCACAGAGACACACAGAAATACACGAAGGGCACAGGAGCATGCAAACACACTCAGGAGAAATGAGTTCTCTGTTCCTTTAAAGTTAAGAAAAATGTTTAGAAAAATCACAGAGGCTGGAGTCCTTAGCTTGTTCTTAAACTCCGTGTTTTAATTTTGGGTGATATTTTGTTGACTCTCTGGCATGAAAAATGAAAAAAAAAAGTGGCCCATTTATTCTTTCTTTGTATTCTTCTTCCTATCAGCCCCAGGAAATCATTTTTTTCAAAGAAAAACTTGGTTTTATGGCAGTTGATTAACAAATTTTATAACATATAAATCCTGGAAACTGAACTATCAGCTGAATTTAAAATACTGAAAATCTGGGAGTAAAGCAAATTAGATAACTACAAATCATGTGACACCTGAATTAATTAATCCGTTTTGTCTTCTTAACTCTGTTTTAAAGCTGAAATCTAAGAAGACATGAAGACAATCCATTGGCTTTGAACATTCTGTGCCTTCTGGTTCTGCCACAGGAATAAAAAGAGCTTACTTAATACAAGTGGAAAATGAAGATTTCTGTTATTTTATTTTTTAGAGACGGAGTTTCACTCTTGTTGCCCAGGCTGGAGTGTAATGGCGCAATCATGGCTCACCAAAACCTCCTCCTCCCGGATTCAAGTGATTCTCCTGCCTCAGGCTCCCAAGTAGCTCGGATTACAGGCATGCATCACCATGCCCAGCTAATTTTGTATTTTTAGTAGAGATGGGGTTTCTCCATGCTGGTCAAGCTGGTCTCAAACTCCTGACCTCAGGTGACCCACCTGCCTTGGCCTCCCAAAGTGCTGGGATTACAGGCGTGAGCCACCATGCTTGGCCAAGATTTCGTTATACATGATACAGATAAACTAAAGAATTCCATAGAGTTCACATGATTGTCAGTGTTCCCAAAATGTATTTTTCATCTGCGTTTGAGGGAAGGAGAAATACCAACCTTACTAATAACAAAGATAACCAAGACAACTAATTTGAGTGTAATTTCCTGTAAACGTATTAATGGACTTTTTTTTTTTTGAGATGGAGTCTCGCTGTCACCAGGCTGGAGTGCAGTGGCATGATCTCAGCTTACTGCAACCTCTGTGTCCTGGGTTCAAGAGATTCATCTGCCTCAGTCTCCCAAATAGCTGGGACACCATCCCCAGCTAATTTTTGTATTTTTAGTACAGTCAGGCCTTCACCATGTTGGCCAGGATGGTCTCAATCTCCTGACCTTATATCTGCCCACTTTGGCCTCCTAAAGTGTTGGGATTACAGGCATGAGCCACCGCGCCCGGCTCATTTTAGTTTTTAAAGTAGCCAGGGGATCTGGATCTAAAATGTGGACATTCTTTTACTCTCCATGGAAAAGACACTGTAAGTAGTTGCAGTGCGATTAGGTGATGATGATGGCTGATCACACTCCCCTTTCTAAGTACACAGTCTATGAAATCAGCAATTAAAAAGAGATCATGGCTGTTGTAACTCAATCCTCCTACTCTGCGGAATTAATCTTTCCAACAGAATAAAAGGGTTGCATCTCTTCCTCCCTCTCTCATTTTTCCTTTCTTCCTTTCTCCCTCCCTTCTTTTCTTCTTTCCTTCTCCCTCCCTTCCTTTTTTCCTTTCTTTTCTCCCTCCCCTCTCCTCTGCTCTCTTTCCTTCCTTCCTTTCCTTTTCTCTTCTTTCCTTCTCCCTCTCCCCCTCCCTACTGCATCATGCACTCATTCATTTATTCAACAAATACTGATTGAGCATCTACTAGTGCCAGCCCTTGATCCTCTATCCTAGAGGATACAATGGCAGATATACTGGTTATTCTGTGCTGGGTAATAAGCCACCCCAGTACTAAGTGTATAAACTTAGTTTGAAATGGCAATAATATTGCTTGACTCAAGATTCTGTGGGTTGGCTGAATAATTCTTCTGCTGGCCTAGGCTTGCTCATCTGAATGCATTCTGCTAGAGGGTCAACTGGGCTGGAAGTCCTAATATAGGTCACTTGTATATGAGTCTGTTGGTGCTGGGTATTGGTGGAGTGCCTCAGTTCTCCACCAGGTGGGAGTTAGGTTAGACTAGCTTCCTTAGAGGGCAAGAACTAGGACTTCACCATTGGATAGCAGGAGTGGCAAATCACATTGCAGAGGGACGTGTATATCAGGATGACAGGAATCTGGTACAATATGACCGTACTTTGCATTTCACTCTAGTAAATTAGATGGATGCGGTTCCTACCCTCATGTAGCTTGCAGTCTAGTAACAACAATTAGCAATGACAGTTCACACTTGCAGAGTTCTCACAATGCAATACGCCAGGCACCATTCTCAAAGATTTACAAGCATTAAGATACTTCATTTCCCAGCAACCTCATGACATCATAGTATAAGCCCTATTATAATATGAGCCACAGGCAACCTGCCTAGGGCTCTTCTCTATGGAAGGGATGATAAAAGAAGCATCAAGGGAAAAGGGGAATGGTGGAGAGAAGAAAAAGGGTGCTATGGGAAAAGTCACTGAAAGGTAAGATTTTGTTTGAGAACTGCCATTGCCTACAGTTAAGTGAAATCAAGACCAACTAAAGAAAGCTGCCAAGTTGGGCAACCAAAAAGGGCATTCACCCCATCCCAGGACAATTACTCGGGAGATTCTGAAAATAACGTTTATTGCTTAAAACTCCATGAATGAAATTAGATAGGCAGATACCAAACGGGAAGGATTATTAACATAAATTGGTTCAACCATGTATTCATTCATACTGAGCACCCACCAGATCCTGCAGTTCCAGACCCTTTTCTAAGCACCTAGCTAAATATATACCCCAATAGCAGCCTCCCTAGGAGAGTGTTCTCTAACATGGGTTTGAAGTTGATTCATTTTTCACTGTATTTTTCTTTTTTTTAAATCTTCTGAGTCTTTTTGCACATAGCGTATTTTTCCTTAACAGCATATCTTGATAACAGTCATCAGTCTGATAGGTCTAGCTCATTCTTTTTGAACAGATATACACCAATATTCATTTAAATCTCAATGGATTGTAGGTTGTTTATAATTTCACCCTATTGCAACCACTGCTACCAAGGGCACCTCAGTTACTGCTTCTAGGCACATGGAGAAGTATTTCTATAATCTACAAGCAAGATTATTTCAACAAATGGTATGTGCATTCTAAACATTTTAGTAGCTATTGCTATGACACCTTCCAATAAGGGTGAACCAATTCACATCTTATCAGCATATTATGAGAGTATCCACCCCTTTGCAAATCATTAACAATCTGAAAGGCAAAAACAACAACAAAAAACAAACAAAAAAAACCCCACAAACCAACAACATAACAATGAAAACAACAAAAACCCCATTTTGTCACTGTTGGGTTACTTTGAATTTGAATCGTCCTAATTTCCAGAGCAGTCCTTACCAGTTTTCAAGTGGCCACATTTATGAGACATCACTCGTATTTCAGTAGTAATTTCCTTCAGGACATTGCCCAGTTTTTTTTTTTTGAAGTTTGTGGATAAATTGAGGGTTAAACTGTTTCCAAATGAAGTTTAAGGTTTACAATGGAATGTATGACTCCAAAGGGTATCCAAGTAGCAGCACAGAGCATTTTCTTTTTGAGACTGAGCCTTGCTCTGTCACCAGGCTGGAGTGCAGTGGCGCAATCTTGGCTCACTGCAACCTCCGCCTCCTGGGTTCAAGTGATTCTTCCGCCTCAGCCTCTAGAGTAGCTGGGACCACAGGCGCGTGCTACCACGCCTGGCTAATTTTTTTTGGTATTTTTAGTAGAGACGGGATTCCGCCATGGCCAGGATGGTCTCGATCTCTTGACCTCGTTATCTGCCCACCTCAGCCTCCCAAAGTGCTGGGATTACAGGTGTGAGCCACCGCGCCCGGCCAGAGCAATTTCAAAGAACTTACGAGGCTCCTATCAGAGTAAGAGCATAGATGAACAGCGGATCCATGATTTGTCGAGGGCTTATTCATTACAGAGTTACTTTGGGGGTAATAATACAAATAGGCAGGGCACCTTACTTCTGAGCAAAATAAGCGTGATAATGCTCTCTACAAGAAAAGATGTCAATACCCACAGTGATAAACAAATGTCTGCTTTGTCATTTCACAAGTTGTTTATGGAAAGAATGACTCAGCAGGAAATGCAGACGAGAAACCACAGGAAATCTGAACTGGGCTTTCGACTGGAGCAGGTTAAATAAAAGCCATTATGCTTTACTTTATACCTAGACTTTGTATTTTATATTTAATCACATCGATGTCGTAAGTGGCATAATTTCATTACACATAAAATTGATGAATACAATGTCTTTTTTTTCTCTCATCAAATATTACTCCAAATTGGGTGGAAACGTTTCTAAATGCTCAGACTAGAACACGTAGTGAAGTCGTGGGTGAGGGTAGAAAATATCCTTGGTAAGTTACTAGGTTCTTCTTCTTATGGAATTTCGTATTACGTTACTAACAGGGAATGCTGACACCCCTGTCTGAAGACTCACATTTATAGTAGAATGATATTTTCTGTGGTGTTTGGAGATGTGATTATTAGTAAACTGAATTTAGGAAAACAACCGTGTAGTACATCCATATAAAGCCTTAATTTCTTGTACCAAGCTAGGCAATCCATAAAAAAAAAATCTATTGATTCTACCTATCAAATGCCTATCAGTTAATCCAGTCCTCCCAATGTCTACTGCTAGTCCACGGCACCTCAGTGATGTCTTCTGGAGCCCTGCAGAGGCTTCCAATGGGTCTTTGGGAATCCCCTCTAGGTCTGGGGTTTGGTACCTTCCAGCAACCAACACCCAAGTCCTACTTGATAAAAACACCCAATGACTCAAGGGAAAGTGACCCCTTCTCCAACCCTGGGACAGATTTTGGCTACTCTAAGCCGGTTAGGGCAGCCCCATGTCCCTTGCAGTGGCTGGTGTGGAACAAGCAAATGAACCACAGAGTGGGATATAAACCCACAGATCTTAGTAAGTTATGTCTCCGCTTAAAAACCTCTCACTCAATGGCTTCCTGAGTCTTTTAGAATAAAGGTCTTAATAAGGTCCTTTGTCATCTGTCACAGTGCTCTAGCTTTTCCTTAAAGCATCCTTCTCTTGTCTGGGCTCCAGCACAGAGGTCTTCCCTGAGTTGCTGGAAGCTCTGAAGGTGGTTGTTCCAAGAGCCTGCACACAAAACGATCATTTTGTTCCACAGACTACAGCAAGTGTTGAAACCACAACAACAATAATAACAGCGTCGCTTTGCTTCAACCTTCTTTCCACCGTCTTTGTCCATACTACTCTTTCAGCTCCCCAGTAAAATTTTCCTATGCTCCCTTCCTCTGAGACATGGGAAGCTTCCCTTTCATAGGTTCTCAAAACACCCTGTATTTTCTCATAACCCTTACATATGAGTCCGTTTCCACACTGCTATAAAGAACTGCCTGAGACTCGGTAAATTATAAAGGAAAGCGGTTTAACTGATTCATACTTCCTCGTGGCTAGGGAGGCCTCAGGAAACTTACAATCATGGCAGAAGGGGAAGCAAGTACCTTCTTCACGTGGCGGCAGGAGAGACAGAGCCCAGGGGAAACTGCCACCTTTAAAGTATCTGACCTCCTGAGAACTCCTTCCCTATCAGGAGAAGAACAAAGGGAAGCTGCGCCCATGATCCAGTCACCTCCCACCAGGTTCCCCGTGACACAGTGGGGTCACAATTTGAGATGAGATTTGGGTGGGGTCACAGAGCCAAACATATCACCTTACCACAGTTTCAAAGAATTTCCTTGTTTTTGATGACCTTGACAGTTTTGAGGCATACTGGTTATTTTGTAGAATGTTACTTTATTGGGATTTGTTTGATTTTCCTTACAAAACTGGGATTGTGAGTTTTGGGGACAAAGACTTAACAGAGGTAACATGTCCTTCTTATCACATTCTAACAAGAGTGCCCGCAATGAACAGAATGTCATTACTCATGTTGACCTGGTTTACCTGGCCAGGGTCATGTTTGTCATGTTATTCCACTTCAAAGTCACCCTTGTAGGCCTGGAGCTGTGACTCACACCTGTATTGTTAGACCATTTGGAGGCCATAGCAGGAGGACTTCTTGAGGCCAGTAGATGGAGAGCAGACTGGGCAACATAGTGAGACCTTGTCTCTACAAAGATAAAAAATTAGCCAGGCTTGGTGGTACGCATCTGCAGTCCTGGCTACTCAGGAGGGTGAGGCAGGAGGATCACTTGGGCATGGGAGGTGAAGCTAGTGAGGCATGATCATGCCAGTGCACTCCAGCCTGGGTGACAGAACAAGTCCCTGTCTCAAAAATCAATCAATCAAGTTCCTCTTTTGTCCCCTCTCTGGAAGAAAGTCACGGCATGCAGCCCACATCTAAGCAGGAGGGAGTTATATTCCTCTTGCAGTGCAGTCTTCAGGAAGACTGTCAGGGCAGAGCTGTCAGGGAGTCTATGAGTCAGGGTCCCCCATCAGAGGAGTCCTGCATCCCCCAGGAAGGGGCCTGGCTCAATGTTTCTTCCATGCTCAGTCACTGGCTGGGAGCAGCTTATGGCAAGCACGTTCTTGCTGCAAACGTGGCTAGTGGATTTCAGGATTCAGCAGGTGGGGCTGTGGGCTGTTACACTCCCTGCAGTCAGAGACCTGCAAGACATCTTCTCATGGAGGCCTGGGAAATGCGCAGCAGCTGCATGTAGCATTCCTATTGATAGCCCAAGCTCAGGTCCCAGCCAACCACTAGGATCAACTACTGGTCACACTAGAGGTGGGGTCTGCAGCCTTCCAGCCCTGGAGTAGGGACATGCCCTTTCTGCTTTGCCCTACACAAATCTCCCAATGCAGGGCAGGCAGTCCCAAACTGGGGCTTAGCCTCGGAGGGCTTCACTCAGGAAAGAATATGAGTGAGCTGGTGGTGGAAGAAAACAGCCTTACTGAGGCATCAGGGTCATAGCTCTGTGGCTGGTCCTCCAGAGCAGGGCGCCGAGAGTAGCAGCTCAGGGGCAGGTCTGCAGTCACATTGATACCCATGGATATGGTCGGGCTGTTTCCCCACCCAAATCTTACCTTGAATTCCCACGTGTTGTGGGAGGGATCTGGTGGGAGGTAACTGAATCAAGGGGGCAGGTGTTTCCTATGTTGTTCTCATGATAGTAAGTCTCACTAGATTTACAGTTATTATAAGTGTGAGTTTTCCTGCACAAGCTCTCTTTGCCTCCTGCCATCCATGTAAGATGTGACCTGCTCTTCCTTGCCTTCCACCGTGATTGTGAGGCTTCCCCAGCCATAGGGAACTGTAAGTCCAATTAAACCTCTTTCTTTTGTCAATTGCCCAGTCTGTGTATGGCTTTATCAGCGGTATGAAAAGGAACTAATACACTCACTTTTAATTACATGCAAACTAAAGGAAGGATTATGCAGAAATCTTAAGAAAAAGGGTAACTTCTGGGTCACCAGGTCATTGCCATGGAAAGGGGCAGTTACTTCTGGGTGTTGCCATGGCTACAGTAAACTGACATGAAAGACTAGTAGGTGTGTCTTATAAAAAGGTGCTTCTGCCCAGTCCCTGTTTAGCTAGCCCTCATTTGGTCCAGTGTCCAAGCCTCACCTTAAGAGTTGAGTCCTGACCTGCACTGGAGGGATCAAGGGTTGTTGATGCTGCCCAGTTTTGGGTGCTGTGTTACAAAGCAGAGGCAACTGGGATGCTGCTTTTGCTTGCAAGAGACCCTATTTTGCTTAGACTGGGTGTGGTGGCATCTGTGATGCTGACCCAAGCATCCTGAACCCCCTCCTTGGCCTGTGGATCAGGCAGACACTGGAGCCACTGGTGAGAAATGCTGAAAAGATTCTGCTTCGATGGCAGCAAAAACTATGCAATCCCAGGGGATTCTTCTAACCCCGGGGCTCAGTCGTCCTGGACCCAGGCCATGGGCATTTCTTCTCATTGGTAAAGGCAATATATAACTCATTCTTACCTTCAAAAGTGCTTTTCTGGGAAGGGATTGTGCCACTGCATAGAAAGAAGAGCCCCAGCACCACTGAGCGAGCCTTTTTCTCACCTGGTTCTGTTAGAGGCATCCTCTCACCTAGCCAGGGACTTTTAGTACCTTCTGAGCTACTCAGATAGAAATGGTAAGACCAATTCTCTGATACAAAGAAACTTCTGGCAAGGACATTAGAACTAGTATTTTCAGCTTATATAAAGAAATGGAAGCGTGATTTTAAGCAAACAAGATTTGCTGATCGCTAATGCATTCCAGAGTGTTTATTCACCAGCTTTCAGAAAATTAGAATTTCTGTTTAAACAAAAGATTTTCTTCTCATAATCTATTTATGGCTGACATTGCAAAAGTCATTTTATTATGCGAATCGAAGTGTGGGAAGTGGAAAACGAAGGTCAAGGCAGACTGGATGATGAGGGTCACAGGTGGGAGAGGGGCAGTTACTGGATTTGGTTTCCCGGTTTATGCAAGCCCCTCCCCAGGGAGGCAGCAAAGGGAGAAGAGTAAGAGCAGAAGGGGAGGAGGAAGGGCTGGAGAGAGGAGGGCAGTGCTGGGACCTGCTGGAGAGGGGAGGGCAGTGCTGGGACCTGCTGGAGAGAGGAGGGCAGTGCTGGGACCTGCTGGAGAGGGGAGGGCAGTGCTGGGACCTGCTGGAGAGAGGAGGGCAGTGCTGGGACCTGCTGGAGAGAGGAGGGCAGTGCTGGGACCTGCTGGAGAGGGGAGGGCAGTGCTGGGACCTGCTGGAGAGAGGAGGGCAGTGCTGGGACCTGCTGGAGAGGAGAGGGCAGTGCTGGGACCTGCTGGAGAGGAGAGGGCAGTGCTGGGACCCGCTCAGCACCTATCCCTGTTCTTCCTAAAGGAACTCCAGTGTCACTCTGCAGTCTCCCCATGCTCAAAGCAGTCTACCCCTCAGGAGAAGCTGCTCCAACCCCTGCCTCTAGGATGCGTCTGTCTCCTCCACCGGCTTCAAGAGACAAGGATGAGGCGTGCATTAATGTAAATACTGGAGTCACACAGCTTGGGTTAAACTCGTAGCCTATTTACATGCTGTGCAACCTCAAGCAAGTAACCCCACCTCTCTGGGCCATAGTTTCCTCGGCTGTAAAGAGTGTGGATGATAATTACAGACATTTCATAGGCTGTAAGAGGACTGAATTCACACTGTCAGGTGCTTAGGATGACACTGGGTACAGAGCATTTTGTTACATAAAAATCTCAGTCTCATTGTCTTTACCAGTATTTGGTTCAGAAACGGATATGTGGCTGTCTCCAGCTAAATCCACCTGAGTGATGTCTCCCCTTCAGACGTCTGGCTTTGTGCGGAAAATGCCTCCCTGCTGGTGTGACCCAGCGTCAAGGGGGTCTCTGCTACCCGCTACTGAAGCCTTCCTCCCCGAGGCCTTCCACAGCAAGTTACTCCCTCTACTGCTGGCTATGAGTCCTCGGCAGTTATCCCACACACTCGGGAATTTCTGTGACACAAGAAAATGAAACCTACAACTTCCTCACAAACACAACATTCTATGCATGCTAGATACACCTGTTAATGACGCTGGCATAATGGTATCTTTTGTAGATACTGATTCAAACGTGTCGGGCTTTGGAATTTCAGTTTGTTATCAATACCATCTCCTTCCCCACAAAGGTCTCTAGTAAGTGTTCAGGTCCTGAGAAACGTGTAGGCCCCAGCGCTGGGCCATTTACACCTAATGAGTAAAGTGGTTTCTTCTCGGATATCCCACAGACTCCACCCTGCAGCGGGGCGCCCAGGCTGCCACCTCCTACAGCTGTGGTTTCGAGAAAGAAACATGCCCTGCTGCCGACACCGGGCAGAGCACTCTGCTGGGCCTGGCTTGGCCACGTAGCCACCTTCAGATCAGGGTTATGGGGGCTGTCATGTGACCCGAATAAGTCACATGGCTTTTTGCCACCGTCACATGGGAGACAGCCCTAGTTCAGCTTTTCCATTAGCCAAGGTGACTTCTCAGCTGTATGGAGTCAGGCTTTTGCTGTGATGATGTCCTGTTCCTAAAACGACCACACATGAAATGGAGGCACCCCCAACAAGCAGCACTGGCTGGGCACAGCCCCTCAGCCCTACCATGTGCTCGTGGCTGGGATGTTTGGCTCCAGTGCCTCAGGCAGGGACTCAGGATTGGGCGGGCTCTGCCATCTCTGCTCACATCCCTTTGGCCCAACTAAGTCACAAGACCACGCCCCCCGGCAAGAGTGTGTGGCTGACGCTCCGCCCACTGTGCTCCTGTCCACACAACAGGGGAGCCAGGACCTGGCACCACGAATGCAACCAGCACGCTGCCTGCTATTGAGCCTAATGACCATGACTTGGATTGCCCGCCTGGCTCTGGCATGCCATCCCCTTGGCCGGGCTGCCATAGGGCAGAATGCAATTGACAGACTCACCATTAGAATACGAATCTGTCTGTCATCCTGGGACCCCTGGGAAGTGGTTCTGGGACCTTGTGAGCACCTCTCTCCCAGGACCCCTGCAGCTCTGTCACCATGGGGAAATGGCAGGAAACGTGGGACACGGCTGTTCTGCCTGTTGGGAATTAAGGAGACAGAAGACAAAATTGATTACAGAGGTTACCTGTGAATGCATGTGCCTGTTAAAAAATGCAAACAATAAAGCAATGTACAAACTAAAATGAAATCGCCTTTCTCCCTGCCTCCCTGCAGGTAGATGCCGTGACGCCATCCTTCAGTGCTGATGTACCTGCATGCCTTCTTTCTATTTGAAAAAGTGGACTGCAAACAAAAGAGGAAGGGGACCCCAGGAGGGAGGAGGGGGCCAGGGAGCAGGTCACTCAGGCCTGGCCAGCACCTTGGCCTCCCTGTGCACAGTCCCCTATAATCCAGGACCAGCCACCCCAGCGGGTCTCTAAGCCTCTGGCTGTGGGCTAGTTAGGAGGCGGCTCTCCCTCTTCCCAGGCTGCTGTTGGCCTCCTAGAGCTTCTGGAATCACACAGAGATGAAGGTCTCTAAAAATCTACCAAGGGCCAGACGTGGTGGCTCATGCCTGTAATCCCATTACTTTGGGAGGACGAGGAGGGCAGATCACTTGTGGTCTGGAGTTCAAGACCAGCCTGGCCAACATGGTAAAACCCCATTTCCACTAAAAATACAAAATAAGCTGGGTGTGCTGGTGCATGCCTGTAAACCCAGCCACTCGAGAGGCTGAGACAGGAGAATCACTTGAACCCAGGAGGTGGAGGTTACAGTGAGTTGCACCATTGCATTCAGCCTGGATGACAAGAGCAAAACTGTCTCAAAAATAAATAAATAAATAAAAACAAACAAGAATCTACCGGGATTCCTAATGTGGATGTGCAATTTGACGCGGCAGGTCAGAGGGGAGGGCTGTGCTTGCTATGTGTGGCCTCACTTTAGTGAGGGCTGAGCCCCTATTTCTTTGCTGGTGTCAGGGCCCAGTGCCTGTCCAGGGCCTGGTGCAGCTCTATCATCCTGTAACAGACAAGTGCAGAGCACCTTCTTTCCCAGGCTTGTGCCCTCACGGGGCACAGGGCCGAGGAGCTGGGAGGAGAGTGGTCTGTGAAGGATGGCTCAGGTCCCAGAGGCCTTCACTCCAGTCCCAGAGGACAGCCTGTTCAAAGTGTGGCTCTGTCACCCAGCTGATCCTCTGACCTCTCCCTTATCTTCAAGACCAAGGTCTCAGCTCCGTTCTGAGTCTTAGCCAGGACTGAGTATTCTGAGGGTCTCTCCCTCAATGATAAACCCTTGAGCTGTTCCGACTCACCCACCCTCTGCCTTGCCATTGGCTTCTCTACTCTCTGATCTTCCAAGGAGGATCTGGCTTGGACTATTTTAGGGTACGCTTTCATGAAGTAGAACCTGAGGTGAGTCAGAGAGTGAGAAGGGCTGCAGGTTCCTGAACACAGACACAGCTGGGAAAGTGGGGCGTTCAGCGAGGCTCAGGGAACGACCCTATTGCTCGGCCCCTGTGGCCTCTTTACAGCAGTGGAAAACTGAAATAAAGACTTGTGCAGTTTTTCTCAGAGAGCAACGCCATCCTGGAACTGCCTCGCATGGCTCCCAGCCCTGTACACCCTCTGCTGTCATTATGGATGGGGCAGGAGTGCCCTGGGAGAAGGGACATTCTGCAAAGCTGGGGATGGGGGAATTGCTGATCGAACAAGAGAAGAGAAACTTACTACATAGCCTCGAGGAGCAGATATAATAGCACAGAAAGCTGGAGCCTGCCAATTACAAATTGTGTGACGCTGTACTGAGTTTTTCAAGCTGCAAGCACGGTGTGGTACTCCCAGTTACTGGCACAAAGCTCCCCGTTCACTGTTGTGGCACTGTAGGGTCCCGCATTCATTTCCTGGGGCCACTGCAATAAAAATACCCCAGATTGAGGGGCTTAAACAGCAGACATTTACTCTCTCACAGTTCTGGAGGGGAGAAGTCCAAAATTAAGGTGTTCGCAAATCCATGCTCCTGGGAGGACTCTTCCTGCCCCCGCAGCTCCTGTTGGTTCCTGGTGATGCTTGATCCTTGATGTTCCCTTGCTCTCAGCTGCGTCCCTCCATGCTCTGCCTCCATCATCACGTGGCCTTCTCCCTGGGTGTTTCCTATCTTTGAAAATTACCTTCTTAGAGGACCCTAGCCATTAGATTTAGTGCACACCCTAATTCAGTATGGCCTAATCTCTACTTGATTACATCTGCAAGGAACCTGTTTCCAAATAAGATCACGTTCACAGACAGCGGAGGTTAGGACTTCCACACAGTTTTTTTTTTGGGGGGTAACCTTCCCATGTCCCCTGCCTTTATCACTTCTGTAAACTCTGCCCTGATATCTGACCACCAGCAGCTGTGCTTCTTTGCTCAAGAGCTTTCTGCTGCTGCTGGAATTCACACTATCGCCCATTCCAGGGAATTAGCACCACCCCTTCTCCACTCCAGGAGTCCCCAACCGTGACTGACAGGTGTTGGTATATAAATCCCCAAGGCCTCTTTGGGCGGGAGGACTGAAAAAATAAAATCCCCAATTTTCAACATTTGCTCATATTTGGCAGCAAGATAAAAATGGGATGTGGACTGATTAGCCGGTCAGAGGATCTGGGTGGAATGTCAGTTCTGCCTCTCACCAGCTGTGCGACCTTGGGAAAGTTCATTTATTCATTCAACAAATACATATTGGGAGGGTGTGCCAGGCAATATTCAGGATATGAAGGAGTCATTGATGAGCAAAACAAACAGTTTAAGCCTTCTTGGTGCTTATAGGCTAGAGAGAGAGAAAGACAAAGAGTCACACAGATACACATACCACGATGATAGAAGCTCTGAAAAGAACAACGTGGTATGAAAGAAGAAACCAGAGCACCAGGCCAGGTGTGCAGGATTTGAGCAGAGCTCTCCGAGGACCTGATGTCTGAATGGAGATGGACATACCTGGCGGTGTTCGCCAAGTGAGGGAGCGGTGTGGTGGGAGGATGGCATTTCCGCCAAAAGCAAGGCACAGGCAAAGGTCCTGGGGTGGAAGGGAGGCCAGCACATCTCAGAAACTGCTCGCGGAGCATTATTTACTCTTCTGTTGAGAAATGGAAGAATATCTACAAAATGCCCACCTTTCAGGTTATTGGGAAAATTGAATGAAATACGGCACAGGAAAGTGCCTATGAAACATCCTTCTTTCCAGCCTTGGGAAAACCTCTCAGGGGTCTGAAGCTTCTCATCCTGGGAGCGGGGCAGGGGTGAGTGGGAATTTATACCGCCCCCAAAAGCGATTACTTCATGCTGCCTCTTTATTTGCATGCAGGTCATGTGCCTCTTAGTATCATTTCTTGGGGCATTGTTTGCTTTAGTTTTGAGAATTAGGAGTAAATTATGCAGGCTTCCTGCCAGACCTTCTAGCAAAGTTGTCCTCTGGGTTTGGGGACTTGCCCGAATTCTGGGGCTTTACTTACACAACGCTGTCCTCTGCTGGCCGCTGATGGAGGTCTGGGCGCCGCTCTTGAGCAGGGCAGGACAGAGTACCATGTGGGTAGCCTTCATCCCGGCTTTTGCTCTGTTTCCGGGTGGAGATGGGGCTTCCACTCACATTGAACAGTCAATGTACTTCCCATCCTCTCTTCTCCATTTTTCCTTTCACCCAATAAATGAGTGTTTAAGCTCCACCCTAAGCATGGCATGTCTGCACACAAACTTGGAGGTAATTACTGCTATCTCCTCCTCAGAAATGAGAGTCAGGAGGTTTGCGGTGGTCAGATGACTTTCCCAAGATCATGAGCAGTGAAGCTGGAAAGTAGGGCTGGCTTCAAGTGCCTGTAACCTAGGCACAGGGCCCTGTGCTCAGTTTAATGCTCTGCTGTTGACATCTTGAAATTCTTAATAGTTTTTGAACACAATACCTTGCATTTCTTGGCCAGGTGTAGTGGCTCCTGCCTGTAATCCCAGCACTTTGGGAGGCCGAAGCGGGCAGATCACGAGGTCAGGAAATTGAGACCAGCCTGGCCAGCATGGTAAAACACCCATCTCTACTAAAACTACAAAAATTAGCTGGGCATGGTGGCAGGTGCCTGTAATTCCCAGCTACTCGGGAGGCTGAGGCAGGAGAATCGTTTGAACCCAGGAGGCTGAGATTGCACGACTGCGCCACTGCACTCTAGCCTGGGCTACAGAGTGAGACTTGGTCTCAAAATAAACAGACAGACAAACAAATAAGAAAGCAAACCAACCAATCATGCATTTCCATTTTGCACTGGGCCCGGCAAATTACGTGTCCTCTCTGCTGTTAGAGCTGTAGGTTCCAACCAGACCTCCTTCACTCCAACCCCAGTGCTTTACTATCTCCTCTGGGCTCTTTCTAGAAGGCACACCTGGCAGCTCAACGTTTAACTCCCAAGATGGCGCTCCATTACCTACAGGATAATGCAGCTTATTTCTTAACGCAGGGATTCTCACCCTGGCTGGACACCCAGGGGACAGAGGGCTTTGGAAAAATACTAATGCTTTGGGCATGTTGCCCAGAATGCTGTGGGTGGGCCCTGGCATTGCTGTGTGTCAGAGCTTTCCAGGTGATTCTAATGAGTCGACAGACTACAGCACTATTGGTGTAGGGCCTGGCATTGTTCCTGACATTCACTGGGTGTTTAATAAATGTTTTCCAACTTTTTAGAGAAATGAATTGACTGAAAGGCTCATGCTGAGAATTAAACTGAGTTGTGAACAAGAAGACTTAACTTTGGGTTCCATGTTTGCGACAGACTAGGAGCTCAGAGTTTGCCAGGGAACTGGGGAAGCTACCCAGGGCTGGTTGGAGAGAGAGAGAGAGTGGGAAAGACTTGGAAATTAGGAGCACCTTCCTGAATATTTGGACCTTGGTAAGGCTTAAATTTACTTTGCCTGGAAATAGCACCTGATCCCACTCAGGTAACTGCCTCTCCCCCATCCTCAACTCCAGTTCTTTGATGAGTGGGTTAATCCCATGTGTGGTCTCAGTGTGTAGGGCGCTGACCCAGGCCTGGACAATCAGATTATTCCATTCCTCTCAGCTGGCTTCTGTGGAGATAAGCGTATACCCCAAACCAGACTTATGATTCGCAACCTTGGGACACTGGCAGGAACTTTGGCCCAGAGAAGCTATTGTTCTCCAGGGGTTGGGGCCTGAGGGGTTTCAATGCAAATGGAACTGCTTGTGGCCATCTTAAGGGACTCTGTTAACTTATCTTCCTGGGTCCACAAGGGGCATGGTTTCAAAAGCAAGAACTTCCCAGCGCCATGCCTCCATTCACCTCCCCATCTGGGAACCTAGAGTTCTTTGTCTAACTTTCCCATGCGTGGGCTAGCTAAAATTTCAGGTGTGCTCCTTTGGTTAAAAAGACCGCCAAAAGCCCAGGAAGGAGGGGCTCTGCTGTGGGCCCAAGCAACCAATCTAGGATCAGAGTCAAAGATAAATCACTCCAGAGGAAGTTTGAAAGAACTCCTCTCGCTGGACAAGAACATGAATGGGGCGGGAATAGCTTCAAAGTTAAAACTCCACTGCACCTTACCTGCAGGGATTTCCCTCTCTGGGATCCCCTCCCACAACAGCGTGGGAGCTGCTGTCTCTACTTCTCTCTCTCTCTCTCTCTCTCTCTCTCTCTCTCTCTCTCTCTCTCTCAGCCCACTGCACCTCCAGGGCCTCTTCCCCCATTCCTTGGGGAGGGAGGCCAAGAACCTGAGACACCCGGTTACAATCTTACCTTGGTGGCAAAGGTATCATACAGGGTGGCGGAGTTGACTGGCAGCAGCCATTCCTGACGAATTTGAACAGATGGATTCAGCAATGTTTGAATTTACCCGGAACTCCTGCTTCCAAGTATCAAGAAATGCCGTTTCTTGCTTCAGTACCTTGTGGTAGATTACTGGTCACTTGCAGCTGAAAGCAAGCAATAAGGAATGTAAATACCCCGAACAAAATTCCCTGTCCCTTGGTTCCTTAATCACACTACAGGGGATTTGCAGGGAGCCGAATATTCAGTCCGGAGTGAGAGATGCATTCGGGGAACAAATGGGGCTAGTACCTGCGTCTTGCCTTCAGCCAAGATGGCAACCTGACATCTTTCTCCCCCTCAGTGCAACAGCAGACCTTTGATACTGACTCTAGGAGATCCATTTTTTTTCTTTTTTTTTTTTTTGTATAACCGCAGCTTTCCAGGATATGCATCTATCCAATGGTCAAGTGTCTGCTGAGTATCTACTTTGTGCGGGCACTGTGCTGGTATAGAACTTGTGAAGATGACTGTGTTTCTAGGTCTGCCCAGAAAAACCAGTGCAGTCCATTAGACAATTTCCAGAATCGTAGCTGCAGAGGATGGAAGCATTCTATTTATTCAATTATTATTTTATGTAAGCAGTTGCGAGAATATTTAAACCCAGTGCACACTTTAATAAACAGATACGTGCTTTCCCAGGGCAGCGCCGAAGATGGTGGAGGGGCAGGTCCTGGTGCTGGATAGTCACGGCCAACTCCTGGGCTGCCTGGCGGCCATCGTGGCTAAACAGGTACTGCTGGGCCGGAAGGTCTTGGTCGTATGCTGCGAAGGCATCAACCTTTCTGGCAATTTCTACAGAAACAAGGTGAATTACCTGGCTTTCCTCTGCAAGCTGGTGAACACCAACTCTTCCAGAGGCCCCTACCACTTCCGGGATCCCACCACTTCCGGGCACCCCACCACTTCCGGCCCCCGGCCGCATCTTCTGGTGGACTGTGCGAGGCATGCTGCCCCGCAAGATCAAGCGGGGCCACGCTGCCCTGGACCGCCTCAAGGTGTTTGACGGCATCCCACCGCCCTACAAGAAAAACCGGATGGTGATTCCTGTCGCCCTCAAGGTTGTGCGTCTGAACCCTACAAAGAAGTTTGCCTATCTGGGGCGCCTGGCTCACGAGGTTGGCTGGAAGTACCAGGCAGTGACAGCCACCCTGGAGGAAAAGAGAAAGGAGAAAGCCAAGATCCACTTCTGGAAGAAGAAACAGCTCACGAGGCTACGAAACAGGCTGAGAAGAACGTGGAGAAGAAAACTGACAAATACACAGAGGTCCTCAAGACCCACGAACTCCTGGTCTGAGCCGGACAAAGACTGTTAAGTCCTCAAAAAAAAAAAAAAAAAGAAAAAAAAGATACGTAGTAGGTAGCGAAATTTTACCACACTAGTCATGGGAGAAAACTGACAAAAAAGCAACGTGCCATAATTTTTTTGAGACTTTTTTTTTTGAGACAGGGGCTCACTCTGTTGCTCAGACTGGAGTGCAGTGCCACGATCTTGGCTCACTGCAACCTCTGCCTCCTGGGTTCAACTGACTCTCCCACCTCAGCCTCCCAAGTAAATGAAATTACACAGGCACAAACCACCACACCTGGCTAGTTTTTGTATTTTTTTGCAGAGACGGGATTTCACCATGTTGGTCAGGCTGCTCTTGAACTCCCGACCTCAAGTGATCCACCTGCCTCCCAAAATGCTGGGATTACAGGCATGAGCCACCACATCCAGCCGGTGCAATAATTTTTGAAACAAATTTTGGCTGCTGGTGTGACTGGCAGGGAAAGATGAATATTTCTACAAGGAATCTGATGGCAATGCTGGCTTCTTAAAGGGTTTTGAATGTTGATAACACAGGTTCTTTGAGGACAGTTTGCTTTGGCGACATTGGCCCATCTCAGGGGGTGCCTGGAGCCCTCCTCTCCTGGCAGTCTCTTGTGACCTGTGCCATGCCAGATCCCTGAGTCAGAGATAGCAGAAAGCAAGCAGAGTCACATGTTAGTAGTTGACTCTAGGTGGTATTCAGGTGTTCACTGCCGAAATTGTTTTAGCTTTGTTGAATGTTTAAAATTTTTCATAATAAAATGTTGGAAAAAAAAGAAGTTGGTTCAAATTTATTCCCCTCCTCTTCTTTTTTTGCAGTTTTCTGTTTTTCTTTAGCTTCGTTTTGATTACTCAAGTTGCCAGCCCCAGAGCAATTACTTTCTGCAAACAAGTTCTCAGAAGCCTCAGATGAATTTTGGACCTAATTTAATTCCCAATTTACTTGCTTATGGAAAAAAAAAGGCTTAATTTCTTTGCACCACATCAACCCTTGGTGTACCAGTTTTGATTTCTTTTAAAAAGCTGGCTATAAGATGCCAAGCCAGGCGGCATGAGATAGTCCCGATGAATTAATGAAAACTGGGGGGAAAAGGGGTGTTCAGAGCTTGCAGGACAATGGCAAAACCCATACACAGACAAAGGAAGCCTGGGAGGGGACAAGCACTCCAGGATAAAGGGAGAGCGCAGATGGTGCCTATGATAAGCTGCAGACAGGAGCGAGTTGCTCCGATGGACAAGGGCGAATGAGGCCAGTCGGAGCCTCTCTCTGTATCTAACACATGGCCTGGTGGTTCCAGGCACAGGGTTGGCAAAACAGATACAGATTTGTCCTTTGATTTGCATCCTCCCCAGAAGATATATTGACACCCTCACCCTCGGTATCTGTGAATGTGACCTTATTTGGAACTAGGGTCTTTGCAGAAAATAACTAGTTACGTACGATGAGGTCATCATGGATTGGGTGGGCTTTAATCCAATAACTGGGGTCCTTATAAGAAGATGTTAACTTGGACGCAGACACACTGAGAGGAAAGCAGAATGTGAAGACACACCGACATGTGGAAGGAAGAAGGCCATGCGATGATGGACGAGGAGATGGGAGCGAGGTGGCTGCCAGCCATGGGATGCTGGGAACCACCAGGGCCACCAGGCACCATTAGGAGCTACCAGGACCTGGAAGAGGCAAGAAAGGCACCCCCTCCCCCGCTAGAGCCCCACGAGGAACAGAGCCCTGCCCACCCCTTGATTTTGGATTTTTGGCCTCCAGACGGTGAGAGGGCACATGTCTGATGTTTTAAGGCTCCTGGTATGTGGAACTTTGTTAAGGCAGCCCCAGGACAGTCACACACAGGGTAATGGTGGAGCCCCAGAGAGGTCGGCAGAGTCTCTGCTTCAGGGCTCAGTATGACCTTGGTCTGCCCTTGGTGTCAACAGCCACAGTCCTCCTTGCCTGCTGTTTCTGTGTCTTGACCCTAAACAACCAATGACTTGTCTTAGAGCAGAGCACTGTGTCCGTCCATTCGCCCTCTACTCTTCTCTTCTACAGGCGGCCTAGAGACACGGGGGGCTCTGGAGCCCAGCTTAGTCTGGAGTCTGACTGTATCAACATTATTGGTAAAGGACACAAAGCACCCAGGAGGAGGTGGGTCAGCCATGGGACCTCATGCAAAGACAGCTGGAGTGCAACTATGGGCTCTCTGCTTCCTGTTACCTGGGAGTCAGGTCCATGCAGTGGCTGGTCCCTGCCCAGGAGGTGGGTGTGTCTCACCTGCTTTGGGAGCATGGGTTCCAAGCCGCTTTCTTGGTGGAGTTCAGCTTCCTGGGTAGATTGGCCAGCAGAGAGAACTCCTTCATAGTTTCATTTCTCACTGAACATTAATATGCGGTCATGTTGGAGCCCAGTGAGTGGAGGAGCATGCTCAGAAATGCCACCAGGGCTGGGCCAGCCCCGGGACCTGTTTGGGTGGGTGGGCAGCCAGTGTTTCCTGTGTGCCTTCCTTCCGCTTCTTTAAATATGTCCTGGGCTCAGAGCAGACGAGGTTGTCCCCCAGCTGACCCTTAGCCAGTCAAGGTTATTCAGGTCCCCCTTGCTAGTGATGGCTGTGAGGTGGGCATGTGACCAGCACTTGGCCAAACACATAGAAGGGCAGGTCTGTTGGAAGATTACGGGAAAGTCTGTCGGGGGTTGGGGTGCAGGTAGAAGGGTGAGAGAGAGAGAGAGAGAGAGAGAGACAGAGAAAAGTCAAAGCCCCCCTCATCCTGCCTCCCTGCCTTGGATGGGGCCTGTGAAATGTGTATCCGAGTTAGGATGGTTTCAACAAGGGAAGCAGCAAGCCCGTATCACACAGGCCTTCCCATCCTCCTACAGGGGCAGCGGTGGGTGGCCAGGTGTCCTTTTTTCCAAGACGGAGTCTCACTATGTTGCCCAGGCTGGTTTTCTTTATTTCCAAATAAGGCCATATCCACAGGTACCGGGGTTAGGACTTCCACCAGTCTTTTGAGGGGGCATGCCTAGGGTGGACAGGGAGGAAAGGTTTGGGGCAAGGATGCTGGGTTGGCCCACAGAGGCAGTGCTTGCAGATACTGTGTGGCCCCGAGAAGAAAGTCACAGGCCCCACAGAGCAGCAGGCAGGGAGGGTCAACAGAAGCGGTGACAAGTCTCCCATCCACAGCACAGTCCCCTCTGGGCATCTCATGGGTGACAATATCCTCATGATTTAAACTGTTTTTAGTAATTGCTTACAGCTGAAAACATTCTAATGCTTTTATTATAGAAATAAAATATGTAATTGTAAGAACTTGAAGCCAGTTCCTTGATTTGGGGCTAATGCATTACATGCTTTTCTTTCCACCTATAAGAAAAAGAAGTTATGCATTACTTCCTTTGTGATCAATGACCTGAATGATAAATGAGAATCTGTTCTTTTTTCAAAACAGCAAACGTGATTGCTTTTTAAGTGCACAAAACTGTGCTTGAAACTCTCGGAAAGTTCAAATTAAACTGATTTTATAGCTATCTTTCCCATTACTAGTGAAATCTTGTTATTTTCACAAGTTAAATTCTATTTAAATACATTTATGTATTACAGAATTATCAAGTGGCAGTTTAACCTGCTAAGGGAATAGAAAAAAGTATGCCTAGATTAAAAGAATACACTTACACAAAAATAAAGATAAATGAACTAATAAATTACTAGTTTTTAATAAATAATCTCCATATTGAATAACTTATCCTTCTGGTAAAATATTTACTATGCTCTTTAAAACCTTTTTAATCAACCGAGACACTCAGGAAGCTTTAAATGATTGGATATCCTTTTGTGGCTGAAGAATTGAAATGATTTTTTACTGAAGTACATTTTAATAAGAGGCAAATTGATTTAAAGTGATTCAAGTCTTCATGGAGTGAGGGCTCTTCACACTCAGTTCCTTGGGCTTAGGGGTGGACTCCTCTGTTCAGAAGGCGGAAGAGGTCATACTTGGTCCTAGAGCTTGGATGTTCTGGGTAATTAAGAATCAATTCTTTTTCAATTATTTTAGGACTAAACCAGGCCTGAGACTCCCAACATGCTCCCATTTCTCTACACAGTGCTTTCATGCATGGAAAATAATATACAAAAATAATAAATGAGAAAATTTATTAAAAACATGAATATCCAGCCCCTGTCCCAGAAATTCTGAATAAGGAGCTACAAAAAGGGGTCCTGGGACCTGCATGTTAATCAGTCCCCATGGGGCTTCTTGGTTTGGTCACAGATCATTGTTAAGGCTTGTCTGAGCCTGAGAAAATGAGAGCGGACCAGTGAAAGAATCTTCCTGGTATCTCCTGAGGATGCTGGCAAAATGTGCATCTGATATAATCAACCTCCCAGACAAGGATTCTGATAGGAAGTCCAGTCCCGGGGATGAGGGCTTACAGACCCAGTGCCAACCCACGGTAACCGTGAACCTCTTTGAACCTCTTTAAAAGTCTATAAGCAAGACTGCATGTTTTTGACAGATGGCCTAAAGTCATTAGATCAAAGGGTGCTGGGTTGAACACCTTTACTCCAAGGCCCTGGTTGATGCCGTAAGGCCCTGGTTCTCTTCCTCTCAGAATCACCTGGTGGATGTGTTAAAACACAGGCTGCTGGACCTCCCTCCCAGGGTCTCTGATTCAGCAGAGCTAGGTAGGGCCTGGGGATCTGCATTTCCAGCAAGTTCCCAGGGGATGCTGATGCTGCTGGTTCAGGACCACATTTTAAGAACTACTGCCCTAATGCCATCACTGGGAACACCCAAAAGAGTACAAATCATTCTATTGTAAAGACACATGCACACATACGTTTATTGTGACACTGTTCACAATAGCAAAGACTTGGAACCAACCTAAATGCCCATGAACGATAGACTGGATAAAGAAAATGCAGCACATATACACCACGGAATACTATGCAGCCATAAAAAAGGATGAGTTCACGCCCTTTGCAGGGACATGGATGAAGTTGGAAACCATCATTCTCAGCAAACTGACACAAGAACATGTTCTCACTTGTAAGTGCGAGTTGAAAACCAAACACCACATGTTCTCACTCATAAGTGCAAGCTGAACAATGAGAACACATGGACACAGAGGGGAACATCACACACTGGGGCCTGTTGGGGGGTGGGGCCTAGGGGAGGGTAGGAGAAATACCTAATGCAGATGACGGGGTGATGGGTGCAGCAAATCACTATGGCACGTGTATACATATGTAACAAACCTGCATGCTCTGCACATGTACCCCGGAACTTAAAGTATAATAGTAATAATAAAAGAACCACTGCACTGATGGAAATGTGTCCGAGGAATAAAATATTCCTTCCATGTACGTTTTGTTGAAATCGAGGCAAAAAAAAAAAAAAAATCCATTGTCCTCAGACCAATTATGGAAAACAAGTATCAGTAGAGAGCAGAAGAATGAAAGCTTTCAGGACTAAGACCAGAATCAGGGTCATCTGGGAAGGGGTTATGAAGTCCGGAAGAGAATATCAGCTTGGTTCCCAAGCAAGAAAAAGTTTAACATCTCAATGGTGTTTAACACAGCATAAAAGCAAATTGTGACCTCCATTTAGTTACAAGTATTTCAAAGAGTTCTCACCAGTTTATGATTCACTGTTAGGATACAAGGGACTATTTAAGCGCTGAACTTGCTAAACAGCAACTTGTTAGAAGCATTACCAGCAAATCTTGTCCACACGATTGCTCTGGAATATGAGTCAGCTTGAATACATTCAAGAT